CTTTTCTTGTTACCTCCCCCTTAGCTGCTTAAAGAATTTAGATAGAGGGCCTGTCTCCAGAATGGAGCTATCACTAGAGATATCTGTAAAGAATATGGACTAGGTGTGCTGGGAGAAACTTGGCAGGGCCTATAGATTAGCGTCCACTCTGTATCCCATTGTCTCTGCAGGACCCAGCAAACATTTGTTTACCAAACATTTGCTTTTCCATCTCTATTTCCTTCCTCCCCCTTGAGGTCCCAAACCATACCCCCAACATCCTCTTTTGTCTCTAGAAGAAGATGGTATTTAAGGTGAGGGTTTCAGCCATTTTGGCAAGTTACTCAGTTTTCCTGGGCCTCTCCCATGTGTACATGTTATTAAACTTTTGTTTTCTCTTGTTAATCTGTCTCATGTCAACTGAATTCTCAGAGCAGCCAGAAGAACCTAGAATGGTAGAAGAAAATATCTCCCCCCCCACATAGATTTATTTTAAAATGTATATGGAAGAACAAAGAACGAGCCATGAATATTTAAGCCATCCTGAAAAAAGAAAATGAGACAATTTATCTTACCAAACACCTACAATTAAGTATTAATGTAAGCAGATGGGGTAGGGGGTCCCGGGAGAAAGAGACCCAGGCATGGCTTAAGCCACTTTGTGATCTAAGCCTGGCCACAATGCTTGCCCAGTAATTAAGGATCTAAAGGGAAGTGAGGGAAATGAAGGAACAAAGGAAGAGCAGTAAAGAAACAATAGTTCAGCGAGAAAACAGAGTCCTAGTTCCTCCTCAAGGGATGTACATAACCATCTGACACCTGTCTTCAGTTCTGCAGGAACTAAGGCCCCCACCCAGGTGGAGGACAGAATGATGTTGACCCTCTTGACTTCAGTCAACCAAAGCCAGGACTCTGTCAACCTTTGCCCCAATTCTGTGCTGAATTCTCCTCTGCCCAAGTCCCTTTATGAATATGCATGAACCCTTAGTTTAAACGTCCCCAATTTTGCTGTTTGGGGAGACATTGCTCTGTGAGAGATCCCCAGTGTTCCCCTTACTTGCTGCAAGTAATAAGTCCTTCCTTCTCCCAGTCTTCGGCTTGGTTGTGTCTTTTGGCTCAACACCCACCAAGAGGCAAACCCAGTTTTGGGGTAACATTAATTTTAGTAGGATTTCCCACAAGGACAGATAATCTAACGAATGGAACAGAACAAAATACCCCAAATCTGACCTACACACATACATGGAGTTCTGACATGACACATTATCTTCTGTTATTAACTTGAGAACCTGGGGGATCATTATGGGGAAAAAATTAATCCCTCCTTCACATCAATACTAAAAATCAGTCCCAGTGGATTAAAGACCTGTATGTATGTAAAAGACAATAATATAAAAATCTTAGAAGACTTTAAGATATAGCAGCATTTTTTAAAACAAAACACAGAACGTGGAAACCATGAGGAAAATATAGGAGTTTGACTACATTAATGTAAAAAAACCACTTTGGTTTATTAAAGAACACTGTAAGAAGAGTAAACAGGGGACTTCCCTGGTGGCACAGTGGTTAAGAATCCGCCTGCCAATGCAGGGGACACGGGTTCGAGCACTAGGCCAGGAAGATCCCACATGCCGCGGAGCAACTAAGCCCGTGCACCACAACTACTGAGCCCACATGCAGCAACTACTGAATCCCACGTGCTCTAGGGCCCATGCTCCGCAAGAAGAGAAGCCACAACTACAGAAAGCCTGTGCGCAGCAACGAAGACCCAATGCAGCCAAAAAAATTTAAAAATTTTAAAAAAAGAGTGAACAGAAAACCAAGAGAAGACATGTGCAACGTGTCTTAAGGAAGAAACAAAAGATGAGTATCCAAAATATGTTTTTTACAAACAAAAGATGAGTATCCAAAATATGTTTTTTAAAATACTCTTATTAACCGAAAAGAAAACAAATAACACAATAAACAATGAATTTGAACAGGCATGTCACAGAACACGAAAACTGAATGGCCGATACACATTTTTTTTTTTTTTTTTTGCGGTACGTGGGCCTCTCACTGTCGTGGCCTCTCCCATTGCGGCGCACAGGCTCCGGATGCTCAGACTTAGCGGCCGTGGCTCACAGGCCCAGCCGCTCCGTGGCATGTGGGATCTTCCCAGACCGGGGCACAAACCTGTGTCCCCTGCATCGGCAGGCAGACTCTCAACCACTGCGCCACCAGGGAAGCCCCAATACACATATTTTTAAAAGGGTTAACCGTATTAATAACAAGGGAAACACAAATCAGACAAAATGAAATAGTTTCATGTCCATGAGATCAACAAACATTTAAACATCTGACAATATCAAGTCTCGACGAAGAAGAGTAACAAATATTTTCATATTATGATCAGTTTGGAAGGCTCTTGGCCTTAGATAATAAATATGAAAATCCACATACTCTCCATTCCACTCTTACAAACATACTTTAAAAGCACTCTTGCACATGTGTACCTGAGACGGTACAAGAATGTTCAGAACAGAACTGTAAGAGCAAATGGCAATTTCATATGCCTCAACATAATACAAATTGATAAGGATTACAGATATCTTCAGGGCACTTTACTATATCTGAAATCTGTGGTCAGTGGACAGAAAACTGTAAGCCTAAACACTAACACGGGATAATAAAGGGCCAGAAAAAGACACCAACACCAAGGAGTGTCATGAATTTGTATAAGAGCTTATATGTTTCACAAACATTTAGACTGCACTTATCATGTGCCCAACACTGTTGTAACTGCTTCATCAGCATCAGTTCATTTCATCCTCAAAACAGGCCTATGAGCTGGGTACTAATATGATCCTCATCGGACAGATGAAGAAACTGAGGCAGAGAGGGTGAGTATTTTGCCCAAGGTCACACGCAATTAAGTGGCAGAGCCAGGATTCGAAAGCAGTAGTTTGACTCCCAAGTCCTTGTATTAAAACATACACTATGCTAACTCCTAACCATGATGCTATAGTGTGCTGGCAGAACCACTAGGGAAGTAATTTATCCAACAAATGCAATTAAATCCCTTACTGACGTGAGCGTAAGGATACCGTTCCAGCTATCTAGTTATTGCTGCATAACACAGCTCCCCAAACTTAGTGGCATAAAACAACTATTTCTCATGGTCACTCACTAAGGAATTAGGACAGGAGTAGCAGGATGGCACACTCCTGCTCCTTGCCAGGACCCCAGATGGCAAGACTAAATGCCTGGGGGCTGGATGACTTGAAGGCTGGGCTCAGTTGGGCCAATGGCCCCAGTACCCACATGCAGACTCTCCAAATGGCTTGGGCTCCTAACAGCATGGCAGCTGGATTCGGAAGGCGAGAATCCCGAGAGCAAACATCCCGAGAGCATAGGATGTAGTTGCAAGGCTTATTTTGTCCCTGCCTTCGAAGTCGTGCAGCGTCACATTCTGTCTTTATGACCAAGTCACGGAGGCCCCTCAGTCAGATCCAGGGATGGGGAATTAGGCTCCACCTCTGGGTGAGGAAGAAGCAAGGTAACCTTGCGGAAGAGCAGGTGAGTGGGAGACAGTGTCAGGGTCACCTTTGGAAACACAACTTGGCCCAGAGTCACAGAGGCTGTTGACAGGGCAATAGCTTCTGGGATATTTTTAGCCACAGGTAACTGAACAGGCAATTAACAGTGGCTTAAATTCTAAGGGGGTTTTTGTCTCATGACATAAAAGCGCCAGAGGCAGGGCAAGTCCAGAGTTAGTTAGTTGCTCGGTGATGTCATCAAGGACCCCAGTGCTTTCTGTTTTTCTAGTCTGCTACCCTTAGCACATCCTAAGTATCCCACTCCTTGCTTTTAGGTTGGTTGCAGCAATTCCAAGCATCAGAAGGAGACATAATAATGTCAAACAAAGAAAAAGAGGGGTATATTTTCCCTTGAGTCTCTTTTAATTAAAAAAAAAAAAAGAATAGGGACTTCCCCGGCGGTCCAGTGGTTAAGACTCCGAGCTTCCACTGCAGGGGGCAGGGGTTCGATCCCTGGTAGGGGAAGTAAGATCCCACATGCTGCAAGGCACAGCCAAAAAGAAGAAGAAACTCCTTTCTAAACCTCACAGTTAACTTACTTTCAGGTCACATTGGACCTGAACTTGCCCTTGTTCATGCCATAGCTGGAAAAGAAGCTGAGAAAGGATCTAGCATTTTGGCTTCATAGTAAGAAGTGCTTCTGCTAATAAAAAAAGGAAGGGGAAGAATGACAGTGGAACCACCAGTATCTGCCACAAGTTCAGGCAACCTCCATTCACTTAGCAATTATTAGCTGATTGCTCATTGTGTACCAGGCACAGCGCTAAGAGGCAGGGCATGGCGGTGCGCAAGACAAGCGTCCCTACCCTTGTAAGGCTTACAGTCCAGTACAAAACAGAGACATGTAACAAGCAATCACATAATTAAATCAAAGGTGTTCAGTACCGTGAAAAAGAGGTATGCAATCAAAGCACGATTTGCTGTAAAGAAAGCAATATTGCTTTATGGAAATATACTGCAATGAAAGACAAGATTATAGTTATAAATACTAAAAGAATCACAAGGTCCTCGCTAAGATGAAAAAATAATGACTGGAAATGATCAAGAGAAGGAAGCATGGTGTCTGGAAGATAGATCGCGTCCCCATCGTTAGAAAAGTTACTCCATTGAGGATCTGAGACTGTTCCCTGGGATTTACTACACACCTGATGAAGCTTCTCTTGAGACTCCCTGACCTCCTTCTATCGAACCGCATGCTCACCAAACAAACTCTGGAATACTGCATCGCTTGCCCAGGTGGACTAGATACCAGACTGGAATTTTTCAGTTTCTGAAAAGTTCTATCTGTCACCATAAAGTGTTATTTTGGTCAGTTTAAAGTAAGCATGAACAATCTTAGACCGTCAAAGCTATAATCGCTGACTGGGAACCCACGGTGAGCCCCACCCTGGGCACTCACAAGATATCAAGCCGGTTTCACCCACGATGGCACTCAAAACTCACCTGGTACATTCCTTTGATAGTAGCTATGGCATCGGCCAGCTGCTGATTGTAGCATTTTCTTAAGGTATCCTCATTCTGCAAATGAAAAATAAATACAACAAGCACCACAATGTATTTCCAAATGCAACTCTCACACCTACAAGGGAGGGGCTCAGTATAAAACCATCATTCAAATCATATGCTCTCTCAAAAACTTCACTTTATAATCATTTCCCCTATGCTTACAGCTAATACAACACATTCCATTTTCACTTACACTGAACCAAAAGCAATAGAGAGCTCATATGGATAAAATAAATACAGATGATGTGAACATTTTCTCTCATCTTCCATATCATAGTCTTTCTAATGTCTTAGAACTGCTTATAAAATAGTGAAATCGGGGGATGGGATAAGTTGGGAGATTGGGATTGACATATATACACTACTATGTATAAAATAGATAACTAATGAGAACCTAATGTATAGCACAAGGAACTCTACTCAGTGCTCTGTGGTGACCTAAATGGGAAGGAAATCTTTAAAAGAGTGGATATATGTATACATATAACTGATTCACTTTGCTGCACAGCAGAAACTAATACAACATTATAAAGCAACTATACTCCAATAAAAATTAATTAAAAAATAAAATAAAATAGTGAAATCTATTTGGAGTTCACATCCTCTTCTGGTCCTGGTATTTTTGGATGAATTATGCTCATGGAAAGAAATCTAGGGCCATTAATCCACAAACTAGAGTCACTTTCTGATTAATCAAATTATTTGATCCTATCTGTTATGGATAACAATGAAAGATAGTACATTAAAAAATACTCTTGTATGGAATCTAAAAAAAAGAAAAAGAGTTCTGAAGAACCTAGGGGCTGGACAGGAATAAAGACGCAGATGTAGAGAATGGACTTGAGGACACGGGGGAAGGGTAAGCTGGGACGAAGGGAGAGAGTGGCATGGACATATATACACTACCAAACATAAAATAGATAGCTAGTGGGAAGGAGCCGCGTAGCACAGGGAGATCAGCTCGGTGCTTTGTGACCACCTAGAGGGGTGGGATAGGGAGGGTGGGAAGGAGACACAAGACGGAGGAGATATGGAGATATATGTATATGTATAGCTGATTCACTGTTACACAGCAGAAACTAACACAACATTGTAAAGCAATTATACTCCAATAAAGATGTTAAAAAATACTCTTGATTCTGATATCAATTTTGATTCTAGCATGGAATGTAAACCACCAATGGGCTTTAGAGTCAGACAGAATTGGATTTCAATGTTACTGTGCCACTTACTATCTGTCTGACTTTAAGCAAGTGACTTAACCTTGGTGGCTCAGTTTCCTTATCTGCAGAGCAGGGATGAGAGGATTTCCACTTAGGGATTGTTGAGGGATTTAAAGAGGAAATGCATTAAAAGGTACTTTGAATGGTAGGGTCAACAACACGTGGGTGTTTTGTTTTATAACATAAAAATAACACTGATGCCTGTTCTTAATGACAGATAAATATGCTAACCTGATCAAAGATTTTAGGAAATTCCTCAGAGCAGCAGAGTTTTCATGTCTTTGGCTCCTACGGAGCCATTAAAACACAAGTCATATAAAACTGTAGTTAAGGGCTGAAATTCAAGCATTAAACTCTCTGGTCTGGAACCTAAACCCTGATGGTTTTTTAAATGGTGACCTTGAGCAAGTGAATTAACCTTTCTGTGCCTTGGTTTCCTCATCTGTAAAAGGGGTATAATAATTGTACCTACTTTGTCAGGTTAGTCATGAGCCTTAAATGAGTTCATACACAGGGTACTCACAAAAGTTTCTGCACATAGTAAAGCTATAGGTACCATACAGCTTTATGTAGTCATCACATGATACACAACACATACAAATTAAATTGCCCTCACAAGTTGCTAAGCTAAAAACTGTAGTATCTACACATCTAAACATAAAATTAATCCACATACGAAAAAGAGGAAATGAGAGAACTTCTACCTGTTGGTAACGTTTTTCGATTGTCAGGATCCTGTCATGTAGAGAAGTGAAAAGTCTGCAAGATTCCTCTCTAAGACGGTCCTCAAACTTCAGTGGAATCAATTGTTTGAGGAACCCAAAATCCACCTGAAGAGATTTAATAATCTAAAAATGGAAAAACATACATTATTGTAGAGAGTTAAGGGCCCTCTGTGTAAAGATTCTAGCACCTGGCCTGGTCTGGGCAGATCACTTGGGCACCTGGTCAGGGGCTTGTCCTGAATTGAAGATTACCTCTCCAAAGTCATGTACACTGGGGATTCCAGTTAATCTGCCAAACTAATACATGCTGATGGACGAAGGGAGAGGAGGTTCCCAGCAGTTTCCTCCCATACAGAGTAAGTTATCCTTTGCCATGAATCAAAAAACGTTTGAAAAAATAATTTTCAATATGTGATTTTCAGATCAGGAAAAATGGGCAAGAATCAACATTTGTTGTGAATTTACTAGCCAAGCACTTAAATATATAACCAATGTGTTGACTAAGAACTGGTTGGTATCATCCAAACTCAATGTATTTTTGTCTCCCACTGTCTATTTAAAATGTATTCACTAGGACTTCCCTGGTGGTTCAATGGTTAAGAATCCGCCTTACAATGCAGGGGACGTGAGTTCCATCCCTGGTCGGGGAACTAAGATCCCACATGCCACGGGGCAGCTAGGCCCGTGCACCACAACTACAGAACCCATGCACTCTGGAGCCCGAGCCACAACTAGAGAGAAGCCCACGCACCGCAACTAAGACCCAATGCAGCCCAAAATAAATAAATATTTAATTCAAAAAGTAAAATAAAAAATAAAATGTATTCACTAGGTAATCTTCCCTCGCCCTGAATGGAAACTGTAAGCAATTCCTACTCATTCTTGGGAACAGAAAGTCCCATCATCACTCAAAACACAGCCCGAAAGTAGCATTTAGAAATGTGACACTTCCAACTTCATTCATAGGTAAGGCTGCTCCCTGCACTCCAGGCCAAGGGCAGTAGCTGGCAGCTGCACATCTTTAAGCAAAAGAGTGGGATTCACTCTTGAGCTCTCTCCCCTCTTACCTCCTCCCCCCACACCCCAGTTGCTTCTCCACCACAGACAAGGCAGAAGGGATAAAGGGACACGGCTGTTCCTACCTGGCGGGGGGCTTCACCCTGGTCTGGTAGGACAGGAGAACGACCCTTCTTCCCTCGGGCACCAACACAGCTTCTCTAGAGGTTCCCGCTGCAGGTACCCTCTCTCCTGTGGATGCACAGGGACAAGCAGCTGCTTCTCTACTCCAGGTGGTCATTGCTACTCCGCCCTCGGGCCCTATGAATCTAGAGTTTCACCCTTTCTTCTCCCCTCTGTTGGGGGCCCTCTGTCCTTCTCAATCCGTCAACTGGAGAGGACCCAGAATGACCCCAAGCTGGCGCTCTCTCTCTTTTTCTTAGAGGCCACATGTGGTCCACAAGAAACAATCACACAACCCTCACCCCAGCAACTCTGGCAGTGCAGACTGATCCCAGCTCAGCCGCTCCCCCTTCTTGCCCCAGCCCACGTTAGCTTCCTTGCACATGAATCGGCGCCGGTCCTCTGAGTCTTCCAATAGCAGCAAACACATTTCAAGTTCCACAGAAGCCTGCCTTACCGGCTTTGAGCTGAGGAAGAGCCCTTCCGCTACCCCTCCCCCAGAAAGAGCATGGCAACAGTGTTTCCTAAAGAAACTGCTTCGGCAATTTTTCCCCTTCACCTCCTGATCCCCGTTTTTATTATCCTTGGTCTGATTAAAGAGCTAAGAGTCATTGATCTGATGTGTAACATTCTCTTCGTAAATTCTGCAAATGGGATCTTACACTCGCTTTGGAATTTGATACCTGGCTACTAGCACCCTGGGAAGAAGCTTGGTTTTAGCATCCTGATACTATGTGGGAGGTTTTATTTTGCAGTTGAGGATATCAAGACTTTGAGAGGTTAAGTGACTAACTAGTCCAACATTACGTGGCCGGTAAGCGGAAGGTCCAGATTTGAACAGAGTTGTGACTGACTCATACTCCTTCTTTATACCATGTTGTCAACTTATGAAGGTTACTATTTTGAGAAATACGAAAAAAAATTCTAGAGCAAGTGAAAGCTTAAAGAATTCCTTAAATTCCAGGGACAAGATGAAATGACTTTGCCTTTAGGAGATCCAGCCCCATATGGACGGCTTGTTCTGAAGAAGGGAGGGACAGGAATCCTGGTATGGTCAAAAAAACTTCTACTGGCCTAAGACTCCCATGGATCAGTTTACAAGAGACATACCTAAGATACAATGACACAGAACTGAGGTCAGTGTAGAAATAAGAAAGTTTTGCCAGGCAAACAATGTCCCGAAGAATGTTAATATAGGTATATTAATATTGAACAAAATGGACAATATGTGTATGTGCATATATGTATACATACACACATGTACATGTGTGTGTGGATATATATATACATCTATATATATACACACACTCAACAAATACAGGTTATTTTTAATTTCTCATTTCCATGGCACAATAATGAAGACTGACCTCACACAAAGCCTCAGGACAAGTCGCAACAAAGACCAAATAATTCATCTCACAAAGACTGTCCGCTGACAACAAAGCACTGAAGTTAAAACTCAGCAACATAACAGTAACTAAAGAGCACGCGTGGAGATCTAACCAACTTCTTATTAAACAGTGGGCCAACAAAATAAATGGGAAATTGGAGCACTTGAATCTAAATACTAATAAAAATCCTACATCTCAAAATTTGTGGGATGACGTTAAAGAAGTAATTAGTAGGACTATATTGCCTTAAATATTGTCATTTATACTGTCTTTAAATGCTTGTGAAAGGAAAGAAGGGAGCCTCAAAATGAATGACCTGTAGGCATGGATAGCTAAGAGCCCCGTGTCCATCACACAGGTCCTTCCTTACTGAGAGAAGCATGACTTTGTCGGGGCAGTAATGTGCCTCGCCAATATACTCACGCCTTCAGAACCCTTTGCAGTTAAAGGGGTCATGTGATGTAGTTAAGGCCAACAATAAATACTTTGGGGTTTTCGATGGAAAGTTTTTGCTTTTTTAGTAGAGCTACCACCACTCCATTCCACTTCTCCCCTATTCTCCTTCCTCTGTGAAATGCAGATGGAGGCTGGAAATGGAGCAGCCATCTTGTTACTGGGAAGTCAGAAATATGATAGCAAAATCCATGCACTAATGATGGACCTGTGAAAAGATAAAATGAATCTGGTACACAGATGACATCAGGGAGCTACTGCCCTAACTTGTAACTCCAGATATTCTAACCCAAGACTTCCTCTTAAGTCAATATAGTTGCACTGTCTGTACATAGAGCTATATGACATCCCATCTAATACCCAGATCCAATTCACGGAATTAGAAAAAGAAAAACAGAGTAAACCCGAAGATAGTAGGAGGAATTAAATAATAAAGATAAGAGGGACTTCCCTGGTGGCGCAGTGGATAAGACTCCGAGCTCCCAATGCAGGGGGCCTGGGTTTGATCCCTGGTCAGGGAACTAGGTCCCACATGCATCCCACAACTAAGAGTTTGCATGCCACAACTAAGAAGCCCACATGCTACAACTAAGCAGCTGGTGAGCTGCAGCTAAGGAGCCCGCCTGCCGCAACTAAGACCCAATGCAACCAAATAAAATAAACAAATAAATATTTTAAAAACACATAAATAAATAACTAATAAGGATAAGAAAAGACATTTATGAACTAGAAAATAAAGATACGATAGAAAGGATTAATAAATCCAGAAGTAGGGTCTCTGAAAAAAATTAATGAAATAGATAACACTGTCAGGATTCATCAAGAAAAAAGAGGAGGTATGAAGACCATATTAAGAATTTTAAAAGAAATATAACTACGGATACAATAAAGACCTAAAAACGATATGCAAAGACAATAATCAACACCATAACCAACAATTTGAATATTTTGTAGAAAAATATAACATCAAGCCGACCCAAGAAGATTTAAGAAAACCTTAATATAACCATAACAAAACAATAGCAGTAAAAATAAGCACAGACTGTTTTACATGCAAGTTTACACTGAAGAAATAGATACTTCCAATCTCAAGCCAGTAATTCCAGAGAATAGACTAGGGAACACTTCCCAACTCACTTTATGACAATACTATGACTTTGCTACCAAGACTGAACAACAGCATAAGGAGAAAAGAAAATTATAGGACAACCTCACTTACGAACATAGATGGAAAACAATCCTTAGTAAATTAACAGCAAATAATGCAATGCAAAAGGAAATATTATAGTCCAGTTGGGTTCGTTCCAGGTTTACTATCAAAAACTCGAATTTCTTCACATCATCAGATAAAGGAGAAAAACCATATGACTGTATGACCATCTCAACAGATCCATGAAAAGCATTCAAATCCAGCCATTCATGATTTTTTTTAAAAAAATGTCTCTCACTAATTTGAAATAAACATCCTTAATCTGATTTAAGCATATTGCATCAGATTTTGGTTCAACTATATTAAAAAATCCAAATAACAGAAGCATAAAAGAGAGGTAGGTTTACTTCTCTTTCACTAGGTGGTGAAAATGACCCAAGATCCTTCTATCTCCTTAGTCTTCTGTATACCTCAAAATCATGGTGTAACTGGTAGCATCCCTGGTCTAGGCACTGAAGTAAAAAGAGGAGGGCAAGAAAGAAAGAGAGGAAGGAAAGAGGGACAGGATGAGGAAGAGGTAAAGTGGCAGACATTGCATCGGAACTGTGCCTTAAAGGTTGCCCAAAGCGGCCACCCAATATTTCCACCTAAATTCTACTGACCGGAACTTACTCATTTAGACGCTAGTTGCAAAGGAATAAAGTTATAACACTTTTCTGAAGGCATAAAAGAAGACAATAAATTGGGACGTAAGTGGGAAAAGAGACATCCTCAAAAGTGGGAGTGTAAATTGGTATAATTTCTATGCAGGGCAACTTGGCAACATCCCTCACAATGACTAATGCATGCATCCTCTGACTCAGACATTTCACTTTTAAGAATTTACATCCCAGTTTTACTGGCATGTGAGTATGTACAGAATTATTCATTGCAGTAAAAGATGTGAAACAACCAAAATGATGTCCATCAGTAGGAGGATAGCTAAATAAATGATGCCAGTTTGTGATACAATGTACTTGTAAAATAGATGAGGAATCTCTTTACGTACCAACGTACATAAATGATTTCCAAGTTATGTTGTTAAGTGAAAAAACAGAAGCAAAGCAACCTGAAGTATTTGTAGTAGTATGCCACCCTATGTCACAGTTTTATTGATTAGGACTTTTAATAATAACTCTTGATATCTAATGTGTATGAAATGTTCTGTTTCTTTACAATCGAAAAGGCCCCAAAGCTTTGCTGTACAGAGAAATAAACACATCATTGTAAATCAATTATACTTCAATAAAATTAAAAAAAAATTTTTTTAAAGCCCCAAAGGAAATATGATAGAATACGGAGATCTGAAAAAGCTGTATGGTAGTACAGGGGAGCAAAATCTGCCACCTCAAATTGCGTCTCTTTGGCATGAGGATTTATTTAGGCTGATTATTTTTAAGGCCCCAAAGACTCAGGAAGAAACTTTGACCTTCCCCATAACTTCCTAGAAGAATGCAGATAGCGGACCTGTTCCAGGAAGGGAGCTAGCACCATAGATAACTATAGTATAATATGCACTAGCTGTGTAGACTGGGAGGAACCTAGCAAAGTCAGCTAAAATTCGTCTCTGTGTCCCACTGTCTCTGCATGGCCCTGCAAACATTTGTTTACCAAATATTTGCTTTTCCTTCTTCATGTGAATTGTCTTCCTCTCCTACGAAGTCCCAAACCACTATCCTCAACATCCTCTTTTGTCTTTGGCTGAAGGTGAGAGCTTTGGCTATTTTGGCAAGTTACTCAGTTTTCCTGGGTCTCTCCCACATATATGCTATTAAATTTTTGTTGGATTTTCTCCTGTTAATCTGTCTCATGTCAATTTAATTCTTAGACCAGCCAGAAGAACCTAGAGGGACAGAGGAAAATTTCTTCCTCCCTGACCATGGGTGACACAGTTATTCACTACTGTATATTATTCTTGACATTTTTCTATATGCCAAAAATATTTTGTAATTTTTTAAAATATCGTAAATAGTAAATGTTCACAGATGTCAAAAGAATTCCAAAGAGAGTAAGAAAACATTTCACTAAACAAGTTAACATATATGAGCATGACATAAATATGACACAAATGAAGTAGTAGTTTATACTAATAATTTTATTTTATTTTACTTTGCGGTACGCGGGCCTCTCACTGCTTGTAGCCTCTCCCGCTGCGGAGCACAGGCTCCGGACGCACAGGCTCAGCAGCCACGGCTCACGGGCCCAGCCGCTCCGCGGCATGTGGGATCCTCCCAGACCAGGGCACGAACTCGCGTCCCCTGCATCGGCAGTCGGACTCTCAACCACTGCGCCACCAGGGAAGCCCCTATACTAATAATTTTAAAAACACACCTATCATCCAACTCAGTGTGTAAAAGATATTAATATTTTTAAAATGCTAATCATTTCACTTCTGTCAAGGAAAGACATAAAGGCAAACAGTACCCACAAATTATCTCAGAAGTTTCAAAATAAATCCAGATTTACCTGCACTAGCTTTTGTGTAGATGAACTCAACTCTTTTAATGGCAAAATCTCACTGGAATCCGTTTGAGTAGCATGGTCTGTGCTGAAAAAGCCAACCTTCAAATCATCTGAAATGTTAAATCTGAAAAAGAAAAAAAAGGGAGGAAGGAGAGATTAACTGTGGTTTATATAGTAGATATTTCCTTAAAAATATATTTAGGGAGCATATTTCATGCAAATCATATTTTACAGATTCAAAGGACTGGTGAAGTGAGGAAACCACTGAATTATCTGCTCATGACTAGGGGTTTTCCCCAGGACTCTGCTGGACTATCAGATTCTCTGGACACGAGCACATGGCTCCACTGATACACATCTTATTTCCATTTTCCGAGACATGACCAATTTATGAGCCTACTTTTAATATCTTACTTGCGTTTTATGTGTGCTTCTGCTTGAAGCCATTATAAATTATGCACGGGCATAGCAAGCAAAATTACTTTTAGATAGAGGTTCTCAAAGTGTGGTCTGAGGAACCCCTGGAGGTTCCAGGACACTCTTTCAGGGAATCCACAGGTCAAAATTATTTTCCTAACAATATTAAAATTCTATTTGCCTTCTCCATCATCATTCTCTCACAAGTGTTCAGTGGAGTTTTCCAGAGGCTACAGGTTATGTGACTGGATGACAGACTGAATGCAGAGGCCGACAGGAGAATTCAGCTATGTTCCATTAAGCCAGGCATTGAGAGAACTTGCAAAAATGTAAAGCAATGACACTATTCTCATTAAAGTTTTTGTTTTGAAAAATAGAGTTTGTTTTTCTTCAAAATACATTATTTATGCTAACACAGAATTGGTTTATCGTTATTTTAAACGTCTCTCCTTTAAAATTTCTAATGTGGTAACTCTGAATAAATATAACATAAACTAAAGCTCTTTGAGGGACCCTATAATTTTTAAGACTGTAAAGAGGTCCTGAAACCAAAACATTTGAGAACTTCTTCTTTAAGATAATCACACCACTGTACTGTATTTGATTTTAAACAGAATTCCCCCCCAAAAATCTAACTAGGAGCAAGTATTTGTAATGTCCTCCTACAGACTTTTAACTACGGGCATCTCAAACTGTAACAAGAAGGCCAGTTTTCTGGATGTACTCTGTCAATTTGACCAAACTTACCACAGCTATTGGTTTCTAAAATGTCAGGTGAAAAAAGAGAGCCGTGAAAGCTCAAGTAGAATTCCCAGACTCTTCAGCGCAGGCTCTGTAGACAGAGTGTCTGTGTTTCTACCCCTCACTTGTCTGCTGACCAGGTCGGGCAAACCGTGATGGGGGGCACCCCAGGGCAAGCCCTCTCTTTTTACCGCTGGCAGAGCCTCAGATTTATCTCCCATGGAACTCAGGGGAGGGTGATCATATTCCCAGTATCAAGGGTAACCCTCGTCTGGTCTCAGCCCACCACAGTGATCCCATTCTTCTGGTCAGATATTTTAGGGGTGGGTGTGGGACTCAGTTCTGGTGAGTGTGATGGGAGAAAAGATCTGTCGGGGGCTTGTGGGAAAGCTTTTGACACAGAAGCACCAGGGAGAGGCTTCCTCTATGACTCTGGACATTGCCACGTGTGGAAATGAGGCCAGGAACTGGCACAGTCATCTGGTGACCACAAGAGGGGCCAGCCAGAGGGCAGAGCCAGCACACAGATGACGAGCTTTTAAAAAGATGGAAATAGGGCTTCCCCGGTGGCGCAGTGGTTGAGAGTCCGCCTGCCAATGCAGGGGACGCGGGTTCGTGCCCCGGTCTGGGGGGATCCCACATGCCGTGGAGCGGCTGGGCCTGTGGGCCATGGCCGCTGAGCCTGCGCGTCCGGAGCCTGTGCTCCGCAACCGGAGAGGCCACAACAGTGAGAGGCCCGCGTACCGCAAAAAAAAAAAAAAAAAAAAGATGGAAATAATTTCGACTGCTGACTTTGTTTAGCCATTGACTCAACTCTGAAACCCATCACACTTCCGGTCTTCCTGGAATGTCATATAATAAATCAACAATTTGTCAGAGTTTCTGTCAACTGTAGCTGAAAGCATCCTAACCAATATTCGATGTGACATTATGTAAATTACTTACCCTTTCTGTGCCTTAGTTTCCTCTTATGCAAAATAAATAGTACCTATTTCATAGAGTTATTGTCAGGATAGTGAGTTGAGAAGTACTTTGAATGGTGTATATCACACAGTAAGCCTTCACGAAATGTTATCCATTTTTGGGGCTGTGACAGTGGTTGTTGCTATCACCACTATGTTTTGAAAATATCACAGTTTTTCAAATCATATACAGAGAAAACTATAAAAGCATAGCAATATTCAACCAAGAAAGGCTAAATTTAAATTTTTTTAGATTTTGATATTCACTACACTGTAATGATTTTCAACTAATCCCACTAAATTTTCAACTAACCTTCCACACACCCATCAATATTATACTGATGACAGACCTAGTCAGCAGCATTATTCAAAGCAGAGGGAGCATCCGTGATGCTGTACATCTCAATTTCAATGAAAATTTCTAGTGTTTTCCCACAAAAAACTGTAGTTTAGACTTGGCCTACTTCATTTTAGGAGGCTATTTTTTTCTCACTAACACAGTACCTTTGGGAGAGGCAATCTCCATTGGCCCAAGCGTCCCTGCACGTTCTTTCTGGGCATGCCAAGAATACAAAGGCCCTGATCACTCTTTCCTTGGGCCATTCCCGAGTTGCGTTTGCAGTGGGATGAGGCAATGTCTTTCCCCTGCCACGAAGCACGCTTGCTACTCCTTACTGCAGAAGTGGTGAACCCCCCAAGCTCAGGGATCCTCTCCTTGAATACAACTCACTACTGTATAGGCATCCATGGTAGGTCTTTTGTGACATCCTCATGGAACTTAGGGGGCATGGGGAATCAATGCAAATAAACATGAATCACTAATACTGCTTTTGCCATGATGAAGCCCTTTGTCTCTGACCCAGGAGTCATGTCGTCTGCCAACAGCCATGAAACAGTAACAAGCAAACATATTAGCGTGTAAGGAGGGTAAGATCTCACACACTGCAGAGTCCTTGACAAGTACCTGACCCATAAAATCCTCTTGATAAATGCTTGTTGTATTCAATTCCTTAAAAAAAACAAAAAAACTAAGATACAGCAATTAACTGAAAAGATCACCAGTATTTAAGGCTTTGTCTATCTAAAATCTATAACCATTTTTGAAAATAACTTGTGAAAACCACTACTAAATTATAATCACTATGTTAAAATTAAATATGTATAATATTGTACTGAACTATAGAAATGGATGAATCATATGATCAATTATGATAAAAAATTTTTAATGTACTTTTTAAAGCAATTTATAACAAATAGGAGAAACCAACTTTTAAGTGGTGATGACATAAAATTTCAGGGAAAATGTTCTTGGTACTTTTCAAAACTGACAAATATTGATGACAAACTGTCCATGTGGTACATTTTTTTCTAGAATATGTGTTTTAGAAATTTTAACGAAATTCCTTTATGATACATTTGGGAATCTTTTAAAACATGAAATAAAAATAAAATCATTATACTTCTGAACAAGCGTCCCACAAAATACAGATAATAAACATTTCCTAAAATGACTGCGTCTCCAAATCTTTTGTCATTTTCATCTATCATTCCCATTGTTCCTAGAGGTATCTTACTAAAACTCAGGTTGTACCACTACCCCACTATGGAGGACTTTGATAGCCTTCCCCTGCTTAAGAAAATTAAACTCAATCTTCTTATTCTGACCTCCAGAATATCCAGGCAAACTACTTTTCGGAGCTTCACGCGTTTAACCAAGAATAATTGAGTACCTACTATTTGCCAGGCACTATTTTTGGCAGCAAGGATAACAGCAGTGGACAAGGCAAAGTTTTTGCTCTCGTGGAACTTACATTCTAACGGGAGAGACAACCAGTAAACAAGTAAACAAAAACATGTTACATATTCTGAGGCAGAGGTAAGCCTCATCTCTCATTAAGTATACCCCATGTACCATACTCACCTGTCACATATCTTCCTGTTAAAAGTTCCCAAAATACATCTGTACCTCGGCAGTACCTCAGCCTAGGACCAAGTTTCCCTACAGTTCTACCTATCAAAACCATACGTAGTCACTTTCTTTTCCATGTTCCTTTTCCTTCCCTTCCCTTCCCAGAGGACAGGAATCAACATGGTGGCCAATGAGATGGGTCAATTGTTCAATGATGAAAAAGGTTGGGAGCCATGCAGAGGAGAAGGCCAACAGCTCCAGTAGCCAAGGATGGAGAGTAGTTGGGAGAACAGGGGCAGCAGCACAGAGGCAGCAGGCAGAGGAGAGAGCCCAAATGGTTGGGAGATTGGATACACTGAACAAACTGAAGATGTAATGAAGATGACAGAAGTCAAGTTCTTTAGTCCCCGAAACGATATTTACAAACTTAAAAAAAGAGTAGGCTAGAATATACCTTGTGACAATGTAATGGAATTGGAAGTTCTGGCATGAGGGCATGGTTTTATAATTATGTACATAGATAGATAAATAGTTATAGGTACATATATGTGCATATGAACGTGTGCATATATCATACCTATGTACATATATTTATATACCTTTGTTTCTATTTCTGTACAATATGAGAGCCTAGAAGCAATGACACCCCAGTAACAATGAACACACTGAACACTCAGATGTTGGTTTTTAAATACCATTCTGCACTAAAAGGAACCAGGGCTTCTTGGAAAAATGGCTGGATCCCAAACTGGGATAACAAAAGTAGAAATGAGCCTGGAACATCTTGTTATTCCAGAAAGCGAGGAAATACTCAAAAAATGATGGGGACACCTGAGAATGACACAGAAACTAGATTGAAGAGATTCCCACTGGCCATATCTGGGACAATTTGAGCATCAAAATAAATGATGAGGGACTTCCCTGGTGGTGCAGTGGTTAGGAATCCGCCTGCCAATGCAGGGGACACGGGTTCGAGCCCTGGTCTGGGAAGATCCCACATGCCCTGAAGCAACTAAGCCCATGTGCCACAACTACTGAGCCTGCGCTCTAGAGCCTGCAAGCCACAGCTACTGAGCCCACATACCACAGCTACGG